TTTGTCTCATTAATCATATATATTTGATCCTATATTAGTTTGATTTTAATGTTTAATCAAATCATTCTTAGCTAGATATATACTCCGTATTTGCTCTTGTTTGTGTCTTAAATAGCTTCCATTAGTAATAAAAAAGTGTGCACAAAACGTTTGGAAAACGTGAAAAGAGGAGCATGAATGCATGATAGCTTTTCATACAAAAATATCCGATATGAGAGCCAAAAAGTGAAGAAGGATAAGAAGAACAAAAAATAGTACAAGTAAGTTAGATACAATGGATAAGATAAATATAAATATAAAATAATAATAACATAAGAAAAAATAAAAAAAATAACATAAGAACATAAGAAAGATAAAAAGATAAAATAACAAAAGAAGGATAAAAGATAAAAATAACAAAAGAACATAGAAAGATAAAAAAAGATAAACAATAAAAAAAAAAAAGAACAGAGAAAAGAGATCAATCGCCCACACGAATGTGTGATATCCATTTTGCTATCTCCAAAGTCATACTCTCATCCAATCCAAAAAGACTCATATTAGTTTTGATTCCTCTAATCCAAGTCTGTGTGGGTCTTCAATTCCTCTCCCTCTCATACCCGCCTCTTCTCCCCACCTCTCAAGTCGTCTAACAGGTGCATTATCAAACCACAACAATCGAGACTAATCTCACACGACATACGCATCTCTGTCACACTTATCTTTTCAGTGTGACGTTGTTTCACTGTCCAAAACTCTACGTCATACATTAATGCATGCCTAATTGATGTTCTATAAAAAAATCTCCAGTCTAGTCGGCACACCTTGATCGCATAGAAATCCTAATGCACTCTTCCATTTCATCCACACTGCTCTAATTTTATGAGTGTTGAAGTTTATTCCTTTAACCTTTGGGTCCAACACGTAAGCCCAAAGATTTCGAGTGGAGTGGTGTATGTATGTGTGTATGAATAACTAGCCCAACAACAAGTGAGATGGATTAAAGACAGTGAGTAGCAAGTAAGAGATTAAGTATTATTAATCAGTTAATAACTCCCCAATGCAATACGCTTGCTAAAGGCTCGTCGGTCGTACGTCTTACAAGGCAGTAGAAGAGCTACGAGTAGAGAAATATAAGCTAGAATCCTAAGGCAGATAAGTTGTCAACCCTTTACAATGAAATAAATGTTGTTATTTATACCACTAATGGGCAGTTGGTTATGCTAACGTGGAGGGCTGTGTGTGGCCGGTGTCTCAACCACCAAATCTCCAGCATTAAATGTGCTTCCCGCAAGGATTTGGGTTTCCCGCCTAATTAATGGAGACGGACGTCCAGCTGGGCCGGGGGCCTGCTCCTGGTGATACTGCAAAGGATCGTGGGCCGTTCGTATCCTGGCCCTTGGGAGAATTTGTCATATAGATTGGATTGGGCATCACGTGGCTGCGGGCCCTTGGTGGGGACGTTCATCGCCACTGCGTTTTCGTGGGGTTTTGATTCCCCATTATCCGCTCGGATGTTCGTCGGGGTGGGCTTCCATTCATAGGGCTGGACGTTCGTCCGAATAAGGGGTGAATGGGCCGACCTTCCATTTGGGCCATTAACCCAACAATGAGATACATCTCCATACAATTCACCATTCTTTTGAATGATGGAGCCCAAGTAACATAACGGAACATACCACACACCGATATCCTTGTCATCAAGAGTAATCCCATTGTTACTACCACTTCTACATCCACCAAACTTGCACTCCATATACTCAGTCTTGTTTCGGCTCAGTCTGAAACCCTTGGACTCCAATGTTTTTCGTCATACTTCAAATTTGCTTTAACACCCGATTGTGTCTCATCAATCAATACAATATCATCGGCACACATCATGCACCACAATATATCTTCTTGAATTAACTTCGTAAATTCATCCATGACTATACCAAATAAAAAAGGACTCAGAGCCGCTGCTCGGTGCACTACGATAGTAATAGGGAACTTTAAGGTCTTCCCTACACTAGTATGAACACTTGTAGTACAAGCCTCATACATATACATAATGTTACTGATATACTTACATGATATGTCTTTTCTCGTTAAGACCCACCAAAGGACTTCTCGATGTACCCTATCACATGCCTTTACCAAGTCAATGAAAACAAATGGAGATCCATGTTAGTGACCCCGTAGTTCTTCACAATTTATCTAAGAAGTTGAATGACCTTAGTTGTTGAGTGTCAAAACATAGAACCAAGCTGGTTCTCTAAAACTTTCACACTTTTTCAAAGTCTTTGTTGAATCACTCGCTCCAAAGTTTCATGATGTGACTCATAAGTTTAATCCCTCGATAGTTGGCGCATTCTTGTACATCACCCTCATTTTTAAATAGGGGAATGATAGTACTCTTCTGTCAACTCATTGACATTTTGTTGTTTGTTCAAATCATATTGAAGAAACGTGTTAGCCACTCGATGTCTTTCTCTCTCAAACTTCTTCAAGCCTCGATCGGTATGCCATCTAGGCCCACTGTTTTCTTCCATCCCATCTTTAAATTCAGAGCCTCTTTAACTTTTGTCGATTAGATCCTGCTTATAGAGCCTCTTTAACTTCTGTGAGAATATCAATACCTTGCACTTTATTCACTTTATTCCCGTTGAACAATATATCAAAATTCGATAAAAGTATGTGAGGTTAAAAAGGAAAATAAACAATGAAGTAAGAATTTTTATTTTAATTTGAAACATCTCTGACGAGAGGAACAACTTGATTTGGGAATGAAAGGAGTTTATACGAATACGAAGTATAAACCTAGTTAGCCCATAGCTGGACGTACGTGGGACAACATGTGTAGCCGTCGTACGTCCTAACTCGTGAGTATTGAACCAAACAATTTTACATATGCAAATCTGTGTAATTAACTACAGCACATGTAGCTTAAATTAGCTTTCACATCTGAGTAATACTTCGTATATTTCTCAGCCCAATTAATCTCTGCTCCGCCCCAATGGAACTACGCAAATAACAAGAATAACAAACAACATTTTTCTCCTTTGTCCTCGCCTTATTATTATTTTATATGCAAACAAATAAACATAGAGTCGTTCATCCTAGGCCCTACTTCAATTCTTTCTCCCATCCTACCCTTCTCTTCTCTTGGCTTTTTCCCCTTGTCCACTTCTCTTCTCCCATTGATACCTCTCTTCAATTCCTTCATTACCATCTAATGTAGTTTACAACGTCACGACTTCTACATATATATGAATTGAATTGCATATACATTACTGATCAAGTCGGTCTTGGCTGATCTTTGATTCATTCGGGCCTAATCAATTAATTTGATGAACAAAATGTTAATGTCTGTAAACTTGTTGAGTTGTTGAACTATTTATCCAGTTGTCCCATTCGGGATTGATTTAAAATAATAAATCACTATATAATTTTTTTGGCAACTCCTTTTATGAAGTTGACATTTTAAAATTTAACCTCAAGTTTAAAAAAAAAACGTAACTAAACTCTGGAGATCATTAATCAAAATATCTTATGTGATGTCCAATGTGCGCATCACGCTCTCCCGTTGACCCGTTCTCATATCAGTTCTTTTCTGGTCACTCCTCAACCCAAAACATACAATCAATTTATCAAAATCAGTTCTTATGCAGTTATGCACTCACATGTGCATGTACACGTACGTACGTAAAAATTCATCATATGTTTAATTACATAATTCCATTTACGTATATGCTTTATTGTTTTCTTTGAACTAAAAGAATAATGACCACAACATAAGTATAGTATATATTCTCTGCATGCAATTATTATCACCCAATTTCGTCACATACCCGTTCAATAGTTTATATAAAAATTGCAAAATATTGTCATATAAGAAAAAGAGTCGTGCATTTGATAAAAGAAACGAAGTATACTAGTATTAGTCAATTAAAAATAGTTTATTAGTAATTAATTACTTATTTTTCTTTATATATTATGATTATCAAATGAGTAGTACGTTCGTAGCCACGCATGTCATATAAATTTAATATACGGAGTACAAACATATATAGGAAAACTTTGCACTCCGTATGTTTTAATCATATAGAGTCCGGGGTAACTATCTCTAATTCTCTACGAATTGATCTGAGGCTCCCATGGCTATTTTCGACTTGTCCATTTCGTTGCTATTGCATTTCTCGGGAATTTGATTTTGCACTCCAACACATAGCATTTTGTAGTAATTTTTTTTGAATGGGATGCAAAATCAAATGATTTTAGGTGTAATGAGATGCAAAGTAAAAAAAATTGGAAATGAGATGCAAAGTCAAAATTTTTTAAAATCGAGTGCAAAGTCTAACATCACCCCAATGGTTTTACGTACGTACGTATGTGACAATTTTTCAAGTAAAATTAGGCTTATTTTATTTCCAAAATAGTACTCATTTAGAGGAAAAAACAATTTTTTTCTTCTATTATGGCTAAATAAATTAAATATAGAATACTCCGTATTAGAAATAAAATGGAAAATTATTCTAAATAGGAGTAAAAATGTCTGCGTATTCCAAAATAAAATTTCAATTCCATGTTTTTATTCCCTAAATATGAGTTATTGATATCATGTTTTGACAGTACAAGACTTTAAAAATGACAATATTTTCAAACTTTGCAGTAGTTGCCCCACTTTGAGAATAATAACATGACAATCTTATTTTTAAAATTTTCAGACATTTTTACTCCTACTGGAATTTTCTCCCTATGGAGTGGTTTGATTTTTGGTGAGGACTCCGCTACCCATTTAAAAAATGTGGTACCGTACTTACCATTCACTTGATTGGTCCACATAGGTATATCAATTTTAATTTAGACTTAAATAATTCAACTGCAACATTCTGATTGGTCCATGTGAACAAAGGTACGGTATCTTTTGGGACATAGAATCTAACTTGATTTTTACTCCTTAGAAATGTGGGTCTCACCTAGCTCGTTTGGTTAATTAACTTCCTCGATCATGAAGGGACCTTTATATATAGCTACATACATTGCAATATCTTTCGATCTAAGTATACCTATTATTAGCAATATAATACGGAGTAATATCTTCTCCCCGTTTAATTAGTTCAGATCAAAACCTTCAACTCACACATATAAATTCTAAGGGCAGAAATTAGAGATCGAGAAATTAATATCCCATCCCATATATAATAGGTGTGGAAGGAATCAGTAATAGCTAGCTAAGCTAGTGTTGATGGCAGAAGATTATGGCAGGGAGAAGAGAATGAATTGGAAGAAGGTTTGTATGATAAATGAGAATATGGACGTGCTAATAGAGATTCTGAAAAGGGTGGACGGCCGCTCCATGGGCGTCGCCGCCTGCGTCTGCAGGCTGTGGTGCGCCATCTCCCGCAACGACTCGCTATGGGAACACATGTGCGGCTTCCGCCGCCCCTCCCCGCAGCCAGACGGCGTCCGGGCGGTGGTCACGGCGCTCGGCGGCTACCGCCGGCTGTACATGATGTGCGTCAGGCCGGTGTTGACCCGACTCAGCAAGCGCCCGGCGGCCTGGACCCGCCGCCGCAACGAGGTAGGGGACCTCTCCCTGTCCTTGTTCTGCGTCGACTACTACGAGAGGGTGCTCATGCTCGGTGACACCGCCGCCTCCTCCTCCTTGTCTCTCACCTTCCTCTGCAAAGAGGTCAACGTTTGACTCCATCAATCTAATTCCAAAACGCACTCCATCATTGGATGTCATTCTCTGTTTTGTAGCAATAAGTAAACAAGTTTAAGATATAGTCATATCATTAAATGAACAAGGGTTATTTTAACTTTGCGCCATATGTTTAGGTGATATTGGACTTTGCATGTATCTATTTTAAAGAACTTTTATTTTGCACCTCATCGTATAATAATATTTTGTAAAAAAACATTATGAATGGATGCAAAGTCAAAAGATTTTTAAGAAAAAATGGGTGTATAGTCAAAGTTTTTCGAAAATCCAATGCTAAATCCAATACAGAGTATCACTCAAAAAGTGGGGTGCAAAGTAGGGGTGGGCATAACAGTTTGGTTTAACCGAACCGTATCAAACCGAACTAAACTAAAACCGGACCGTATGTAATTTGATGTGAGTTTGGTTCTATTTTTTCCAAACCGTATTAAACCGAACCGAAACCGATAAAAACCGAACAAAATCGAACCAAAGAAATTCAAAAAAACCCTCATATATTATTAAAAATTAACAAATTCAAACTGAACCAAACCAAAAAATAGTAAAGTTTTTGTTTGGTAATAATTATTCCGACCCCTTCCAAATCAAATCGAGCTGAAACCGATAAAAACCGAACCGAAAACCTCTTTGCCTAGCCCTAGTGCAAAGTCAAAATCATGGACAAGTAGGGTCTCAGAAATGATACTGTAAAATTATTGCATTAGGAAAAAGTGAGGTGTAAAGTCAAAACCATGCCTGATAATTAGCGAGGAGATTGAATATAAATTCAGATTGTCTTTTCTATGATCAATGGGGTCTGGCCGGGATCATGAGTGTGGGTGCGGTGTAGCGAGCTAGGTTGCAAGGGCGGGCGGCGGTGATCGGCCGGGTGGGGGCAGTGCATGCCGAATGAGAAGCTAGAGGACATAAGCAAAATGTCAAAGTAGCTCTGTCTATAAAGTTAATTAGCCCACCAACTTTACACTGATCTCAGATCATCGGTCTTACCTGTGCTCTTTTCTCTGACGACTAAGTTGAAAATGAAGTTTCAATTCGTCGGCCTATTCTCCCGGCCATCTTCCTTCCTCTTGTTGATCTCATTCAACTTTTCAACCTGCCCCACCATTAGTCCATAATAATAGTGATAATACACAATAATAAATAAATAAATAAATAAGAATAATAATACGGAGTATATACTGTTTTCCTACCATATTATTGGAAATTAGTTTTTTTTTGGAAAAAAATAAAAAACGAAAAGTCTAGTATACTCTCCAATTTCACATTATTAAATAATTATTTAACAAAACGTTTAAAATAAAAAAAATATTAAATAAAATATAATAAAAAATATATACTAGGAAAAATAGAAATTAATAATCTAACATTTTAGGTGTCTTTTTACAAGAGTCTCACTTTATCGTTATTCATTGAATAATCCAACCTTTGCACCACATCTTCATTCGCTGGTCTCTGACCGGTTGATTACCTGTTATTCCAAGTTTTTTCATTTTTTTTGCAAATCATTCAACCATAAATCTCACCTTTCACAAATCTTCTCCAAGCGATCCCATGCATCATTTTTATTTTTTCTTACTAAAACTTTTCCCTTTTTATTTTTATCGTCTTGACTCTTCTATTCCTCTTTTTGGTCTTCTTATTTTTATTACTTTTCAATTTTTCTTTTTATTTTTTTCAATGTTTAGTATTCAATTTTTCCTTCTTTTTCTTCTTCCCATTTATTATTTCATTTTCATTTTTATATATTTTTTTGGATTAGTTTCCTTATAAAAGATATTTTTTCACCTTACTAACTTTTTACTTTATTTTCTTTTTACTTACACTTATTTATTTTATTTTAACTTTCTTTTCATTGAAATATTGTTTTACCCTTTTTTATCTTTTAAAAAAAATTGTTTGAACTTTCATTTTATTTTGTTACTACATTTTTATAAATTGAAATAACTTTTGTTATTTTTCCTTTTTATTATTATGTAAAATATTATTATCCGATTAAGTTATGGTAAGGGTAGAAATGTAGAATTAGAAGATAGACAGTACTTTAGTCATATTTTGGAAAGAAAAATAACATGTTCCTATTTGTGCATTTAGGGATCAGTTTAGTCCTATTTTGGGGCTATATTGTCAAATACGAAGTATATATATATATTAGCGGTAGAATAAAGGTAAGAAAAGGAAAAAGAAAATAAATAAGTGTAAGTGAAAAGAAAATAAAGTAAAAAGTTAGTACGGTGAGAAAAGGATCTTTTATAAAGAAACTAATCCGAAAAAAATATAAAAATGAAAATGAAATAATAAAAGAGAAGAAAAAAAGAAGGAAAAATGGAATACATAAACATTGAAAATAATGAGAAGTAATAAAAATAAGAATACGAAGACCAAAATAGGGAATAAAAGAGTCAAGACCATAAAAATAAAAAAGGAAATGTTTTAGGAAGAAAAAAGAAAAATGATATGTGGGATCACTTGGAGAAGATTTGTGAAAGGTGGGATTTAAGGTTGAATAATTTGCAAACAAAATGAAAAAACATGGAATACCAAGTCATCAACCGGTCAGGGATCAACAAATGAAGATGGAGTTTAAAGGTTGGATTATTCATGAATAACGATAAAGTGGGACTATTGTAAGAAGACCGCCAAAAGGTTGGATTATTAATTTCCATTTTTCCAAAATACTAATGACCTTTTTTTAAAAGAAAAACTAATGACGTACTGAGGATGTTTTCTTTTGGACTAAAATTCGCTGGTCTGGTTTGGTCTGTTCTGATCTGGTTTGAACTGATCTGGTCTGATCTGAAAAATGTTTGGTCTCTGTGTTTCTATAACTATGAAAGTTTGGTCTGGTTTAGTCTGCAGGTCTGGGACTGAAAATAGTCCAAAAGAAAACATCCTTAGTACGTACGCAATAGAAATAATAAGGAATACCGTAATGAATATTGTTTCTATTTTATAACTTTATTTTAAAAACTAGTAAAAATAACTTGTTTAAAATGTTATTACTAAAAATATAAATATATATACATACATATGCGCCGGCATATGTGTGTACATATTCATGATTAAAAAAAATAATCCTAATTATATAAAAAATCGTAAATTTAATTTTAAAAAATATTTCTAATACTTATTTAAAAAGTTAAGTTGAATACTTGAATATATATATATATATATATATATATATATATATATATATATATAATACTTTTGTATTTATATCCTTAATGGTCATTTTACACCTCAAGAACTTATGGTGAATAGCTAAGTTACCAAACAATTACTTTTAACATGCTAATGGCAAAATCGGTTATATCATTCCACACACATTCGATTATCAGCTAACGGCCTTGTACATTTTTTGTCGTGCCATAATTTTTTGTTTTAAAAAATTATTATGTGCATAGGATTTACTTCCACAATATTTTGGACACATGGCAGATTATGAAAAGTAAACGATAATGATGTTTAACATTGAGAAAGTAGGATTGTTGGGGATGGGAATAAACTAACAGCGGAATTAGGACAAATAAAACGAGACACACGGGTATACAAATGCACATAATAAAATCGAAACAAACAAACAAATAAAAGGTAAGCTTTTTATTTTTAACGTTAGCTAGCTTCAATTACGTGTATGCTTATATTTGTATGACCATCTTTTTGCGTGACCATATCAACTTTTTTCATTTAAAATCTTCGATTGGGTAAACAGCTAGCATATGTTCATGAGTACTCAACCTGCAATGAGTGATGAGTCCATACCATTACTAATCTATAGTTAACAAGTGAACCAAGTATTTTATTGTAATGTTATTTGACATATTAATATAATAGTGACTAGAATAAAAATAAAATATGTCCATATTACCCTCAATTAAATTAAAAGGGCACATTATTCATTCATCATCTTATGAGTAGAGTATTTGAGGTATTAGAATGTACTACGTGTATGTCATAGATATAATCACTATTTCAAGATACGTCATTTGATCACATTGAGATTCTATGGTATAAGATAAATATATGCACCATTACGGAGTATATTATTACACTTTTATACTTAACTGTTTTGATGATATATATTATCTATATACGTGTGCACCCATTCCGATAGATGTGACATGTATATCCCGTATCACTTTACCTTCTTGCCCTTTCACCTCGTAGCCTTCGGGTCGCTCAATATAGACTTCTTCTAGGAACCCATTTAAGAACGCGGACTTGACATCCATTTGATGTATCTTCCACTTGTTATGAGCCGCGAGTGCGATTATCAATCTTATTGTTTCCAATCTAGCAACGGGCGCAAATACTTCTTCATAATCAATGTCATGTCTTTGGGCGTAGCCTTTGGCCAATAGTCTTGCTTTGTACTTCTCAACTTCTCCTTTTGCATTTTTCTTGATCTTATAAACCCACTTCACTCCAATTGATTTATGCTTTGGTGGAAGTGTAGCTAGCTTCCACGTTTTATTCTTCACAATTGACTTGATCTCATCATCCATTGCATCTCTCCGCTTATTGTTTCTTGTGGCTTCTTCAAAACTTAGTGGCTCGCAATCACCAAATAGACAAAAGAGTGTAAGTTCATTATTTGAGTTCAGGTTTTGTGTTACCTCGTAAAGCTCTTCAATGCTTCTCATGCGTGGTATTTCTCTTTCATCCGAACTTGGTGGGGAAGCTTGAGATTGAGTGGGAGATGGTGGAGGAGTTATATTTTCATGATTCTCTTCAACTTCTTCATATTCCATGGATGGTAAGAGGCTATAATCTTCTTTGTCGCCAATGCTCCAATTCCACGAGCCTTCTTCATCAAACTCCACATCACGACTTATTATAAGCTTCTTCAAATCCGGATTGAAGAGTTTGTACCCTTTTGAGTGTTTGTCATATCCAATGAATATAAACTTCCCGCTCTTGTCATCGAGTTTTGATCTAGTCTGATCAGGAACATGAGCATATGCAATGCATCCAAATACTCTCAAGTGCGAGACTCCGGGTTTACCTCCATGCCACGCTTCTTGTGGAGTTATTCCATCTAGACTCTTCGTGGGGCAGCGATTTTGAAGATAGACGGCACAATCCACTGCTTCAGCCCAAAATTCTTTAGGCATATTCTTCGTCTTTAGCATCCTTCGGGCCATGTTGAGAATAGTCCTATTCTTTCTTTCGGCAACACCATTTTGTTGTGGTGTACGCGGGACAGTCATGGGACGACGGATGCCA